GGCGGCGGGCGGGCGGGCGCGCGGGCAGTGCTGACAGCGGCTCCGCTGACGGCTGCGCCGCAGGCCCGAGCACCGGCGCGCCACGGAGCGCTTCTGGCGGGAGCACCGCGCCGAGGCGGCGCTGCGGCCGCGCTTCCTCGTCACGGCCGAGGAGTACGCGCGCTTCAGCGAGGCACTCGCGCGCGCGCTGGCCGCCCACGAGGAGCGGGAGGACGAGCGCATCCGGGAGGTGAGCGGCGCCCCACGCGCGCCCCGCGCCGCCCCGCGCCGCGCTCACTGCGCGTACCCGCAGATGGCGGCGCGGATCCGCGAGGCGGAGCGGCGGCAGCAGGAGACCGTGCGGGCCGCCCTCGAGGTGGGTGCCGCGCCCGCCGCGGAGCCGTATCCAGCCCTGGCGGCGGCGCCCCCGGCCGGGCGCTCGCGGGGCGGGGGGCTCGGGGGTGGGAGGGGGGGAGCGGGACCGCTGCTCCTTTTTCCTGAATCAAACTCAGGCAGAGCCGCAGCCCCTCGAGGGACCTGCTCGCCGCGACGGCGCCGGGCAGCAGGAAAGGTAAGAGGTGCCACCGCCTCGTGCGGGGCTGCCGGCTCGTGCTCTGCGCCACGCGCTGCGGCCGCCGCGCAGCACTGCTGCTTGCCCGCGCTCTGCTGCTGCTAAACATCAGTGTCAGCCCTTGCAGTCCCCTCTTTCGGTCCCTCCAAGCCCTCATGACCAAACCATCCTGGGTCAAAGCAAGCTGCCCAGCTGCGCGATGCCTGTGTCACCTCTGCAGGCCTGCGTTAGCCCCAGCAGCTCTGGGCAGCCAGCTCAGTGATTCCCTCTAGACACTACCAGCACACGCAGCACACACTGCTGCTTTTCTCCCTCCCTGCCACGCGTACATTGCGGCCACTGCCACGCCCAAGCTTCACCCCTGCTCTTGAAGCTTACGGGTAGTCACGACCTTGCTGAGCTCTCTCACATGTCCTCGCCTCTCCGGCTGCCTTTTGGCTCTGTATCCCAAGGGACAGCGCTCGCGATGCGGAGCAGCCAGGCCCAAGTGGGATGCAGGAGGTACCTGATCTGAACTGGATGGAACCAGGCCACACTTTGACCTTTATTGGCCACCAGGTAGGGACGGTCATTACCTAGCTTTGCTAACGAATATGGCTATTTGCATAAGCGTGCCCAAGACCTTAACACGTGTTACAAAGCTACGCAAGAGTTGCAGTCTCCACTGCGAATGCCAGTTGCTGCACAGGAAAGGCAGCTTCGCCAGTCAGTCACAGAACTAGCTGAGAGTTCTGGCCACGTCCTGAAAAGCGACTCCCTAAAAAAGCACTCCTGAAGCAAAGTGGAGAAATGCCTCCCTTTGCCTTTTAGCTAAAGAAGCTGAGCCTGCAGTTTCCACTCTGAGAAGCCTGATTTTTCTCCTCCTCTTCCACCTATCAGTCTCTTGTCGCTCACCTACTAGAATGCACTTTACATCATTCCTAAAAATACCAGTTTCTAAAAAGTGTCTTATGTTTCTGCTAACAGGAAACAGAAGGGAAGGGAAATATTCACACAGGTAATTTCTCCTATTGCTAGACGCTCTGTTGCTGCTTTCTTTAGGAACTTCAGAGCAGATTGCTTGGCAGGGTGGGCTGCAGTTGCATGGCAAGGGGATCTATTTCCCCACGTCAACTTATGTGTCTTCCCTATGACTTAGGAGCCAAACCTCCCTGGCTAATAGAGGAAGAGGAGGAGGTAGGAAGTCAACAGCAAATTGGACCATCGTATGAGGAATTTCTCAAAGAGAGTGAGTGGCTTCTTGGCATTCGCGATAGCTTGAAGCTCGCTGCAGTATTGCACAAGCGCAGCAAAAGCCTTTTGACTGACCAACCTTCACTAAAGACAGCTCTGTTTTTAGAGGAAAAGCAGAAACTGAAGAAGCTCCCAGCAGATCGAGTCGGTGCCAACTTTGACCATAACTCTGAGACGGGCGCCAGCTGGCTGCCTTCCTTCGGGCGGGTTTGGAACCAGGGCCGCAGGTGGCAGTCCAGGTGAGCTGCCTGCAGGGCCCTTCGCTACACACTACGGGTCTGTGATAACGAAACCGTGAGGGGGGCAAGATGCATCTTACTGCAAAAAAATGGAGTTACTCCCGTCAGTGTTCAGCTCAGGCAGATGGTTCTGTTGCTGGAATATCACACAAGAGACTTGCAAGCGATTAAGTAGCGACTGCTGCTGCAGAGAAAGCAGCCACGCAGGCGCCTGCCTTGGTGCGCACGGCAGACACCTCCGATCTGCCTATTAGCGCCGCAGCAGACGCTTGTCCTGCTGGCAGCTCGAGGCCCACTCAAAATCTCTGTAAACTAGCTGAAAAGATGGCTAGGAGGCAGCTCAATGAAAACAGCACATTGAGGAACGCCTGCGCTCAAAAATGCTTTGCACAGATTTGATAGGCACGACAGCTTTCGTTGCCACTTTTAAAAGGCTTTTGCATTCTTACATCTATCCTTTCTTTTTCAGGCATCAATTTAGAGCTGAATCGGGGGAAAAGAAGAAAAGGTGATCAAGGAAAGAGCACAGCAGAGACTGAGCTCAGAGCCTTGTGAAAAGGTAGAGCAGCAGTAGCTGCAGCTGCATCAACACCGCTGCTGCTGCTGCCAGGTTTGGCTCCAGGTGCCCTGCAGTTGTGTCCAGGTCCCCAAAGGGCAGGGAGGCCCCAGGACAAACCCCTGGGCTGAAGAGTTTTGCTGGCGGCAACTCTGCCAGGAGATGTAGCACTGGATTTGTTCCCCTTGTAAGGGATGCATAGTACCCAGCCAGGCCTTGCATTTTCAAGCCCTGAATTATGCGAAGGCAAAAGTTGCCAGCAAGGGGCAAGGGCAAGGGTCTCCTGCCTGGCTGCTACTGGTTTTTTTTTGTTTTATCTCTTTTTTTTCTCTCTTATCGGGGAGCCTGGCTTATACAGCACAGATTGTACAGCACAGTATTTCTTTAAATAAACTTGTGAAACTTTTTTTTTTTTTTTTTTTTAAATTCTCTCTCTTGATAGTTCAACAGGAAGTTGTTACAGAGGCAGAAGCAGCATGCAGGGCCACTGCTGCCCCCACTGTATTGCATCTACTCCCTCAAAATGTAACCTTTAGGGAAAGGAGCCCTGGTTCTGCTTCACCTGAGGTGATCAAAAACCTTCTCTGTGATCAGCCATTCACTGTACTAAAATCCTCACAGCCGTACTGAGAGCTGCTTACCTGTGTTGCCCACCTGATACTGACCAGACAGATGCTGCTGCCTTGCATACACTGAACTGGGGAGGGCACTCCTGTTTAGAGGGAGTTTAAAGAAACAGTCATAGGACTCCCATTAGCACCTTCATTGCCTAGGAAGTAACAAACCCAACATTTATTTTCTTTTCCTACTCAAAAAAACTGAATACAGTTTGTATTATTTTAGCACCCAGTGATTTTAAAGTTCTTTCCCATTTCACAATAGAAAACAATGCCAAGGTCATATGTTAGAAGCTTGAGAGGACCTGGCCTCTATGGGAGGATAGCGGTCACCTACAGTACAACCAGGGAGGTACCTAATAGTGAATACATCAATAATGAAACGTGGGCGTTCTTGAAAAAAGAACAAAAGTTATTTGAGTATTTTTATTGTGTGCACCAACATATGACATAGTGTCGAAGAGGCCCCTGGAGCACCTGCAAGGCAAGGAGGACGCAATGAGAGCGGAGCTCGCCGCAACGCAGGCGATGCAGGGGGCTCTGAGCGCGAGCTGTGGAGGGAAGCGCCCGGGGCAGTGGCCAGACCCGCGGCTCCGGGAGCGGCTCCGCATGGTGCCGAGCGGGACGCCCGGCTCTCGCCATGGCACCGGCAGGAGGAGCGAGCTCAACCTCAACGGCCACAAGCGGCGTATCCAGAACACCAAAGAGCCAGCTCCACGGTGCAAGCGGTGCCGGCAGGAGCTGTGGAGGCAGGGCTGGAGCCATCTGTGAGGCACGTCCTGCCCTCACGGTACCCAGCACGGTGCGGCCGCTGGCAGGGCCCAACGCGGCACCCAGCCGCCCCATCACCTCACCTGCCTACGCGTCCTCCCCGGCAGCGGGCGCGTCGCCTCCTTTGGTGTTTCTGGTGTAGATCACCTGGGCTCGGTGCTTGGACACAAGCTTGATCAAACCTGGTGGGAACAGACAGGCATTTGAGCGCGTGCAGGCTGCAGCGCTCGGAGGACGTTGTGCTCGCACGGGCCACGGCAGATCTGAGGGGGCAACCGAAGGTACCAGGCACCCAATACCGCTGCTGTGCTGTGCTAACCACCTCGTAGCAGCCTGATGGCCACTCCAAGGCCCTGCCTAGAGCACACAAGCGCCAGAGCTAACAGTGCTTTGAGGCCATGCAGGAGCTGGCGCAGCACGTGCGCTCCCACACAGCATCTGGTGGCTGAATTGCCACCTGGCCTCTGGGCAGAGTGCTCCTACTACAGCTGTGCTGCTAAGCATGACACAGACCTGCTTATTTGCTTTGGAAATACAGGCTAACTGCCGTGGCTTCGATAAAAACATGACAATCTCTGCAGTTCAGACGCAGCGCAGTCTTCCGAGTAAAGAAAGAAATCTAATGCACCCAGCTTAGTGGTTTTCCACTGCTGTATTTACCTTTGCTAAGCAGTTCCTGAAGGGCAGCCCTAGCCAGAGAGCCCCGAATCTTCAGCCGTTCCGAGACAACTGCAGGTGTGATGAGCTTGTAGTTGGGCACTTCCTTGCACAGTTTGTCATAGGTGGCCTTGTCGAACAAGACGAGGTTGTTCAACTTGTCTCGCACTTTTCCCTTGGACCACTTCTACTTGAAAGAAGAGGCAGAACGTGAGGGCAGGTTCCAGGCAAGGAAAAGCCCTGGGCTTTGGTGAGGGCTGAGGCTCCGCTGCAGGATCCCCCGCTCTCCCAGCGGGCAGGAGGCCCGGGCACACACACGAGGTGCCGTCCGCAGAGCGCGCAACCCCCGGCCACGCGGCACGGGGCAGGCGCCCCCGCGGGGCCCGGTGCTGTGCTGCTGGCCGCGGGCCGGCGCACACCGGGGCGCTCCCCGTGCACGGCCGCTCGTCCCGCCAGGCCGGGCCCGGGCCCGGCCGCTCGCCCGGGTTCCGCGCGCCACGTGCGCCGCCGCGGGCCCCCCC